AAAAATCCATAGTAGACAAAAATATGAAATTTAAATGTAGTGACCAAGAGCTACCCGCAATATCTAAAACAACCGAATGGAAGTATTTAGGGATCTCATTTACACCCGAAGGTGCTAACCTGCGGGATCTTAAACCAAAGCTGCATTCAATCATCGAGAAACTTACTAAAGCACCTCTCAAGCCGCAACAAAGACTTTTTGCCTTAACAACGGTTGGAATCCCGAAGTTGCTCCATGAGTTAACATTGGGGAATACCACATTGAGTCTGCTCAAGTCCCTCGACAACATTGTGAGGAAGGCAGTAAGAACGTGGCTGAGGCTGCCCCATGACTGTGTCTCTGCGTACTTCCACGCTAACTATAAAGATGGAGGTCTGTCCCTTCCGTCCTTGCGATGGACTGTACCACTTAGAAGGAAAATGAGACTGGCAAAGCTAGAAATGTCAGAAAGCAACTTTCTCCAACTCGAGGTTGCTCAATGTGAGAAAAGACTAAATGACACAAACTCGACCATAGCATCATTGAAACAATTAGATGAAAGGTGGGCCCGCTTACTCCATTCTTCAGTAGACGGAAACCCACTAAGTAAGTCTAGAAAAGTTCCCCAACAATATCGATGGGTCGTAGAGGTTAACAGACTCTTAACAGGCAAGGATTTCATCAATTGCATGAAAATAAGAATCAACGCCCTACCTACTAGAAGCAGAACAACGAGGGGAAGGATTGAAGACAGGCTATGTCGAGCTGGTTGCAACACTCCGGAATCGCTCGATCATGTTTTACAGACCTGTCACCGTAGTCATAAATCTAGGATTGATAGACATAACGCGGTCATCAACTATCTCAAAAGAGCGCTTGAGAAAAACTATGCTCAAGTTTACGCCGAACCAACATTTAAAACGGCCAAAGGTAACAGAAAACCAGACCTAATAGCAATTCAGGACAACCGGGCACTTCTCTTGGACGCTCAAGTTGTCGGGGGCTCCACCGATTTGGGAGCAGCGCACAATAGGAAAATGAGATATTACCAGATCTGGTTGAGAAAATTAAAACGAGATACAATACGACTGACGTTAAGATTAACACAATAACATTGAACAACAGGGGTGTCTGGAGCAAAGCATTGGCTAACTTTTTAGTAGAAGAAAAAATTCTCAAGAAAGACGAACTGAAAATAATATCCGCCAGAGTCCTTATTGGCGGGCTAATGGGGTTTGGGAGGTGGACAAAGAGTACGAGTCATCGTCGTATAAGAGAAGGAATCGGATAGATCCCAAGACTCAAGCCAGATATTAAGCGTGCTGCATAGCGCTAACATCCTTCAGGCACAATACTAGAAGCTAGGTTTAGTGGGTATTGCCTTCGGGTCGAGTCCCACACTACCTGGTCAACCTGGCGACCGGTGTGCGTAAATGCATTCCCCTCAAAAAAAAAAGCCAAATGCCTCGTCTTGTAACTAGTGACGCGCATGAACGAGATTCCCACTGTCCCTATCTACATTCTAGCGAACTGCCAAGGGAACGGGATTGGAAAAATTAGCGGGGAAAGAAGACCCTGTTGAGCTTGACTCTAGTCTGGCATTGTAAGGAGACATGAAAGGTGTAGCATAAGTGGGAGATAGTAATATCGTCGGTGAAATACCACTACTTTTATCGTTTCTTTACTTACTCGATTGGGCAGAAAGCGTGCGTCGAAAACTTGCGTTCCAACTGTCACGGTTTTCTAGAGCCAAGCGCATAAGAGTGGTGTGAGGCATTGCGCCGATCGCCAACAATACTCTAGCGTGATCCGATTCGAGGAAACTGCTAGGCGGGGAGTTCGACTGGGGCGGTACATCTGTCAAACAATAACGCAGGTGTCCTAAGGCCAGCTCAGCGAGGACAGAAACCTCGCGTAGAGCAAAAGGGCAAATGCTGGCTTGATCCCGTTGTTCAGTGTGCACAGGGACTGCGAAAGCATGGCCTATCGATCTTTTTGGCTTGAAGAGTTTCAGGTGTCAGAAAAGTTACCACAGGGATAACTGGCTTGTGGCAGCCAAGCGTTCATAGCGACGTTGCTTTTTGATCTTTCGATGTCGGCTCTTCCTATCATTGCGAAGCAGAATTCGCCAAGCGTTGGATTGTTCACCCACAAATAGGGAACGTGAGCTGGGTTTAGACCGTCGTGAGACAGGTTAGTTTTACCCTACTGATGAATCGTCGTTGCGATAGTAATCCTGCTCAGTACGAGAGGAACCCAGGTCCGGACATTTGGTTCACGCACTTGGTCGAGCGGCCGGTGGTGCAAAGCTACCATCCGCGGGATTATGCCTGAACGCCTCTAAGGCCGTATCCTTTCTAGACAAAGTAAGCAACGATATCTCTAGAAGTCTCGTGAGTCAAAAGGCTCAATACAATGTGATTTATTAGGTATTCGGCACACGCCGTTTATCGCACGAGCCATTTTTAGCCGAATGAGGCGCTGGACAGTGGCGATATCCGTCCGTTATATCTGTCTTGCCTATAGCGGTCGATCATGGGTCACTAGTTCGGAAGACTCGGAATCATTTGTAAACGACTTAGGTACCTGGCGGGGTGTTGTACTCTGCAGAGCAGTTACCACGCTGCGATCCGTTGAGACTCAGCCCTTGGCTTGGGGATTCTTCATGTTGGCTTGACGTCACCGCACGCTATTAGAGCATATGCCTTAAGCCGTCACATTGCAGCATGCCACAATCAGTAGGCTTGACAGTCGAAAACTTGTACATGTTGTACATGTGACACTTCTTCGGTATCTACCTAGCTATTTTGTACAACGTGCGTGAGTCAGCACGTAAATCAAAACTTATCGACAAATTCCAATTTGTAAGTTTACGAAATATATGTTTTTAAGAGAAACTTTTCATATTTTTTATTTTAAATATATGATATAATTCATTAAATTCTAAATAGGGAGAATGTTTTTTGCTAAATTTCTTGGAAATGCGTACAAGTTGCTAATAAGCAAAGTACGTATAAGTTATCTATAATGCAAAATACGTGCCAGTTGTCAATGCGTAAAATACGTGCAAGTTGTCAATTTGCAGAATGCGTGCAAGTTGTCAATTTGCAGAATGCGTGCAAGTTGTCAATTTGCAGAATACGTGTAAGTTGCCAATGTGCAAAATACGTGCAAGTTGCTATTTTTATTTAATTTTTGTAATATAATCTAAATAATTAGTTACTTCCAACCTATAAATATTTCGATTCTTTTATAATAAAATATTCAGTATATTTATTTCTTTTTTAACAAAATATTCAGTACTTATATATAATTTCAAACTACATCAAGTAAACTTTTAGAAGACATTAGCGAGTAAGCCTAACCTAGAATCTTGCATCGAAACAGGTTAAAAACATTTTCCGGCTTTTTGAAATCAGTAACTTACGGGTACCTCAGACTACATCAAGTAATCTTTTAGGGGACATTAGCGAGTGAGCCTAACCTAGAATCTTGCATCAAAACAGGTTAAAAACATTTTTCGGCTTTTTGAAATCAGTAACTTACGGGTACCTCAGACTACATCAAGTAAACTTTTAGGGGACATTAGCGGGTGAGCCTAACCTAGAATCTTGCATCGAAACAGGTTAAAAACATTTTCCGGCTTTTTGAAATCAGTAACTTACGGGTACCCCAGACTACATCAAGTAAACTTTTAGGGGACATTAGCAAGTAAGTCTAACCTAGAATCTTGCATCGAAACAGGTTAAAAACATTTTCCGGCTTTTTGAAATAAATAACTTACGGGTACCTCAGATTACATCAAGTAAACTTTTAGAGGACATTAGCGAGTAAACCTAGAATCTTGCATCGAAACAGGTCAAACTACTTTTGTAGAAAAATATTGTTTTTGGATTTTTAGGAATGACGTATATTTATTCTATTATTTATTTACATGACATGGTTTAAATACAACATTTTTATTTCTTTAAGTTATATTTTTATTTGAAATAAAATTTCCTACATTTAGCTAATACAATTTAAATAAATTAATATCTGAAATCTTGCTTCCTTTCCAGTCAAGGATGCTTTTCGCGAGATAGTAGTGTCGCTGTCATAACACCTTCGCGATTTTGCTCTAATACGCGTTCTGATACATTAGCCAGTAATTGAACATGTCTCTCAGTTCCCTGAATGTGACACGGAATTTTAGGGTCACTCCATGGACACTCATCGCTTTGTAGATATTGTACTAGATGTTCATGAGAAATATTTAGCGTAAAGACTGGTTTGGATATTCGTTAATAGGGAACACCCGGGTTTGAACCGGGGACCTCTCGATCTGCGGTCGAATGCTCTACCACTGAGCTATGTTCCCACATCTGTCTTACTCAGCTAATAGCAAATACCGTCACCATAGCACATTTTCTCAGCAAAAAGTTAGAGATTTTGTAATAATTTTAAGCGCAAATATCAAAGGGTACCGGCATACCACATTTTATCCAAAACCAATATTTTCAATAAATATAAAGTTGCATTTACTCTCCAAGCATCGTTAATAGGGAACACCCAGGTTTAAACCGGCGACCTCTCGATCTGGAGTTGAATGCTCTACCACTGAGCTACGCCCCCACGATCTATGTTTTTCAGCAAATAGCTAATACCGACACTATACCACATTTTCTTAGCAAAGAGTTGAAAACTTTGTAATAATCTTAAAGCAAATAGCAAACAGTAGCGGTATATGGCACTCAAACAATATTTTTAATAAATTCGAAGTTTCATTTACTCTCCAAACATCGATAATAGAGAACACCCGGGTTTGAACCGGGGACCTATCGATCTGCAGTCGAATGCTCTACCACTGAGCTATGTCCCCACATCTGTTTTATTCAGCAAATAGCAAATACCGTCACAATAGCACATTTTCTCAGCAAAAAGTTAGAAATTTTGTAATAATTTTAAGCGCAAATATCAAAAGGTATCACAAACAATATTTTCAATAAATTTAAAGTTGCATTTACTCTTCAAGCATTGTTAACAGGGAACACCCAGATTTGAACCGGCGACCTCTCGATCTGGAGTTGAATGCTCTACCACTGAGCTATGCCCCCACGATCTATGTTCTTCAGCAAATAGCTAATACCGACACTATACCACATTTTCTTAGCAAAAAGTTGGAAATTTTGTAATAATCTTGAAGCAATTAGCAAACGGTAGCGGTACATCGTACTCAACCAATATTTTTAATAAATTCAAAGTTTCACTTACTCTCCGAACATCGTTAACAGGGAACACCCGGGTTTGAACCGGGGACCTCTCAATCTGCAGTTGAATGCTCTACCACTGAGCTATGTCCCCACATCTGTATTATTCAGCAAATAGCAAATACCGTCACCATAGCACATTTACTCAGCAACAAGTTAGAAACTTTGTAATAATTTGAAGCGCAAATATCAAAGGGCACCGGTATACCACATTATATCCACAAACAATAATTTCAATAAATTTAAAGTCGCATCTACTCTCCGAGCATCGTTAATAGGGTACACCCAGGTTTGAACCGGGGATCACTAGATCTGCAGTCGAATATTCTACCATTAAATTATGTCCCCTTGATCGGTGACACTCGGCAAATAGCAAATACTGACACCACATCACATTTACTCAGCAAATAGTTAAAAAATTTGTAATACTCTTAAAGCAAATAGCAAACGGTAGCGGTAAATCAAATTATATCAGCTACCAATGTTTTTAATAAATTCAAAGTCTCATTTACTCTACAAACATCGTTAATAGCGAACCCCTGGGTTTGAACCGGGTTAATAGTACACACGCGGGATTGAACCGAGGACCTCTCGATCTGCAGTTGAATGCTCTAACACTGAGCTATGTCCTCAACAATGTGTTCTACTCAGCACATAGCAAATACCTACGCCACACCATATTTTCTCAGCAAGTAGCTAAAATTATAGCAATAGTCTTAAAGCAAATAGCATTATATCAGCAACCAACATTTTTAATAAATTCAAAGTTTCATTTACTCCCCAAACATCGTGAATAGGTAACACCCGGGTTTGAACCGGGGACCTCTCGATCTGCAGTCGAATGCTCTACCACTGAGCTATGCCCTCACAATGTGTGTTACTCAGCACATAGCAAATACTCACGCCACACCACATTTTCTCAGCAAGTAGCTAAAATTATAGCAATAATCTTAAAGCAAATAGAATACGGTAGCGGTATATCACATTATACCAGCAACCAACATCTTCAATAAATTCAAAATTTCATTTACTCCCCAAACATTGTGAATAGGGAACACCCGGGTTTGAACCGGGGACCTCTCGATCTGCAGTCGAATGCTCTACCACTGAGCTATGTCCCCACATCTGTCTTATTCAGCAAATAGCAAATACCGCCACCATAGCACATTTTCTCAGCAAAAAAAATGTAATATTTTAAGCGCAAATATCAAAGGGTACCGGTATACCACATTTTATCCAAAACCAATATTTTCAATAAATATAAAGTTGCATTTACTCTCCAAGCATCGTTAATAGGGAACACCCAGGTTTAAACCGGCGACCTCTCGATCTGGAGTTGAATGCTCTACCACTGAGCTATGCCCCCACGATCTATGTTCTTCAGCAAATAGCTAATACCGACACTATACCACATTTTCTTAGCAAAGAGTTGAAAACTTTGTAATAATCTTAAAGCAAATAGCAAACAGTAGCGGTATATCGCGCTCAAACAATATTTTTAATAAATTCAAAGTTTAATTTACTCTCCAAACATCGTCAATAGGGAATATCCGGGTTTGAACCGGGGACCTCTCGATCTGCAGTCCAATGCTCTACCACTCAGCTATGTCCCCACATCTGCCTTATTCAGTAAATAGCAAATACCGTCACCATAGCACATTTTATCAGCAAAAAGTTAGAAATTTTGTAATAATTTTAAGCGCAAATGTCAAAGGGTATCGGTATACCACATTTTATCCACAAACAATATTTTCAATAAATTTAAAGTTGCATTTACTCTCCAAGCATCGTTAATAGGGAAGACCCAGGTTTGAACCGGCGACTTCCCGGTCTGGAGTTGAATGCTCTACCACTGAGCTATGCCCCCACGATCTATGTTCTTCAGCAAATAGCTAATACCGACAATTTACCACCTTATCTTAGCAAAGAGCTGGAAATTTTTGTAATAATGTTAAAGCAAATAACAAACGGAAGCGGTATATCACACTCAACCAATATTTTTAATAGATTCAAAGCTTCATTTACTCTCCAAACATCGTTAACAGGGAACACCCGGGTTTGAACCGGGGATCGCTCGATCTGCAGTCGAATGCTCTACCACTGAGCTATGTCCCCACATCTGTCTTATTCAGCAAATAGCAAATACCGTCACCATAGCACATTTTCTCAGCAAAAAGAAACTTTGTAATAATTTGAAGCGCGAATATCAAAGGGAAACGGTATACCACATTATATCCGCAAACAATATTTTTAATAAATTTAAAGTCGCATCGACTCTCCAAGCATCGTTAATAGGGAACGCCCAGGTTTTAATGGGGGATCACTAGATCTGCAGTCGAATATTCTACCATTAAATTATATCCCCTTGATCGGCGATACTCGGCAAATAGCAAATACTGACACCACATCACATTTACTCAGCAAATAGTTAAAAAATTTGTAATACTCTTAAAGCAAATAGCAAACGGTAGCGGTAAATCAAACTATATCAGATACCAATGTTTTTAAAAACTTCAAAGTATCATTTACTCTCCAAACATCGTTAATAGGGAACCCCCGGGTTTGAACCGGGTTAATAGTGCACACGCGGGATTGAACCGGGGACCTCTCGATCTGCACTCGAATGCTCTAACACTGAGCTATGTCCTCACAATGTGTGCTACTCAGCACATAGCAAATACCTACGCCACACCACATTTTCTCAGCAAGTAGCTAAAATTATAGCAATAATCTTAAAGCAAATAGAATACGGTGGCGGTATATCACATTATATCAGCAACCAACATTTTTAATAAATTCAAAGTTTCATTTACTCTCCAAACATCCATAATAGGGAACACCCGGGTTTGAACCGTGGACATCTCGATCTGCAGTCGAATGCTCTACCACTGAGCTACGTCCCCACATCTGTTTTATTCAGCAAATAGCAAATACCGTCACAATAGCACATTTTCTCAGCAAAAAGTTAGAAATTTTGTAATAATTTTAAGCGCAAATATCAAAGGGTATCGGTATACCACATTTTATCCACAAACAATATTTTCAATAAATTTAAAGTTGCATTTACTCTTCAAGCATTGTTAATAGGGAACACCCAGGTTTGAACCGGCGACCTCTCGATCTGGAGTTGAATGCTCTACCACTGAGCTATGCCCCCACGATCTATGTTTTTCAGCAAATAGCGAATACCGACACTATACCTCATTTTAATCATCCTTATCTATCATATTAGTATAGTCGGTGCATTCAAAATTTATTTCGGGTGTTTTGTAATTTCTCAATTGCGTCAGGTCTTCCACATTATTACGGTAATATAAGATTTTTCTTATAGCTGAATCTCTTATTTTTTTATTTTACTTTTTATTTTCAAACAAAATTGCTAATAAAATATTTTCCGAGTGAGCATAGTATGCGTTTTCTTTAGCAACATTGTTCACAATTTGTCTTAAATTTGAGTCTAGATATTGCGTCCAGCTAATAAATTTATAAAATAATATACTACCATACACCACAGAGTTGCAATATTTAATGTTAAAGTACATTGGAATATATACTTTCATTACGTAGTTTGCCAGAATTTTCAAATTTTTGGATGGCTTATTAGTAGTTACATATAACCGAAGTAACCTACTAGCCTTCGTGAGCCAACGGGAATGTGCTATTGGCCCTGGTTTCATGTTAGCTAAGTCTGTCGATACTTCTCCAGAAGCAACTGCGTTAGCTATTTTTATTAAATAACTTGAGTCAGTTGTCGATTCAGCAGGACTTATATCAGCCAAATTTTCAAGTGGAATTGTTTCAAAGTCTTTTACCGGCTGGAAGTATATAAGAAAAAATAAATTATATTAAATTTGAACATAGGGTATTAAAAATAGTAAATATGTTATAACTCACCGGTATATTTTCGCATGTTTCAATTTGTTTGCTTAATATTCCAGTTTCTGTTCGTGGTCCAGTGGTCAATGATTTTTCCAAATAGTTAAATAAATGGCGAAGTGGAAGTTCATTAAAGTGGAGAAGACACACAAACCAATGCAGTGGCCTGTTTAACTAAATTTCAAATCGACGTAAAATCCCATTTTTTACGCCTGTATTTGCTGGTTCACTATCGCAACATATGCCTATCAAAGAATCGAGAGCTATTCCTTTATCGGCGAAAAACTCGTTCAATTTAATTACTTTACTTTCCGAATCTTTATTTTCCAATTGTGTGTAACCCAACAATTGGCAATTCGGTTCCTTTAAAATAACTAAATGCGCTTTTTTAATCATTCGTGGGTGAAACTTCTTATCGATTTTTTCCATGGTAATAGAATCATTTTTTCGGCCGTCGAATGAAAATGCTATTAATTCAGAAGAATCATATTGTTTGTGTAGAGCTTGCCTATTTTTCTGCCTCTCACGAACGCTTTTATTTTTATCCATAATGACAGGATTGCCCCAATCATCCGTTACGCCCAGGTCATGCAGGATTGCTGTCACCACGCCAGAACCAACTCTATCAGAAATTGCATATCTGTCGCACATTAAAGCATAGCTTGGAGCCTTATATCTTCGACTATATGATCCACGTTTTATATGACAAGTATTTTGTGAACTATCCGAACTGCTTTTAAAATCAGAACGAACATCTGGAGTATATGTCTCACCTGGAGTTATATTGCTAGTTATTGTAGATGCTGATACTTCATCTTCAATTTTTATAATATATTCTGGTATCGTAGATTTCCTCTCATTATGTTGATCCATCATAAACGCTTGTAAATGTTCTGCAATCAGTCCGCAAGAACACAGTATTCTTCGCAAATCGCATTTGCATTTTCCAATATAAAATAATTCTTTCGTGG